TGAAAATATTCTGACAGTTGTCTTGATATATTTTACAACAGAATGAAGTTTCTCACTCTACTGTCCACAATTATACATGGAGATAGACTTTTATTTATTTTACTATCCTCCACAGCTTTGCTTACTAAGAGAAAATTCACTCTCTTTCTTCCCTCATGCCTCAAAAAGAACAGTCACACATACACACACAGATGAAATACCACTTAAATAATTTTGTATTGTATAGGAAAATAAATGCTATAAAAATTAAGCATACAGGTGTTAATTGTTGGGAAAATTATTTCTACCCCCTCCCGGCAAATATAACCTGATCATAGGAAATTAAATCTGAAAAGTATGTGAATTTATTATAGAAATGCCAGTATTTATAATGTTATCCTCAAGATATCACTATTCTCAGGACTCACTGTCTTGCAGGGAAGCTTATCTGCAATTGCTACTTTCTTCTCTGTTTTAATATTTTTCTTCCTGAATCTCAGTAGTTAATGCACTGGCATATCTGACATGCTAATGACACACCCGTTTCCTTGCACAATTGGATTGTCACTCTCTGGCCTGAGATTTAGTGTCATCTTTCAAACACTCAAATTTTCCTGTGCTCTGTTCAGTCACCTTTTCCACAACTTGCTTGTAAAAGTTTTGTAGGTCTTCTTCCCTCTGTAGTTTTGAAGTATATAATCTAAGAATGAAAACAGAACATTTAGGAAACAAGGAAAGTACATTCTTAAGGCCACCCTGCTTTCATAGTGCTCCCCAACATACACATGCTTCTCTCAGTATTTTGCTAGGTGCATCCCTCTCTCATCTTTCCTGCCCAGGCTTCTCTGTGCCACTAAATGGGAGAGATAGCCCAGTTCAGAGAGTAAAAGACTTTATTCAAGCTCTCCCCTGATTTCCAAGGGTACTACATTCTACCTGCTACTGTCATGTTTTACATCATACCTCTAAGCCATAAGGCATTTGTGGTAGAAAACAGTAGTAAGGGACAGATTGGAAGCAGAAGAGGCTAGACTTATGGTTTCATGGGCATAGGTAGAGAAAACTTCTTTGAACTATGGATATCAGGACTTTCTCCAGAAGTTATAGTCTTTGGCCACTGGGGCACTGAAGTGACTTGTTCAGGGGCATGCAGCCATAACGTGTCTTGAACCCAAGTGTTTCTGATTTCAAGGTAGGCTGTTCATGCTTCTCATAGTGGTGGAGAGGAAGACATAGCTCCTGAACATGCATCAGTAGACAATTGTGATCTTAATAATAGCTAACTTTTATATAGTGCTTTTGTTGCCCTCAACCAGATTGTACACCGAACGGAGTGGCGTGAAATAACTTATGACATGGGCCAGGCGGAGTAGAATTACTGACTCAGTTTATTCATCTGAGGGCACAGAATATATAGGGAAGATCTAGCCTAACTTCAAAGAGTCCTCCCCGTGAGATACTCCCCAGAACATCTGCTGAGGATGTAACAATCATGAATTTCCTCCTTATCAGGGTTCCTAGATTGGGCTGTAGATTCCAAGGTTTTCCCAGGCGCCTAGGCACCATCTGCATAGAGGAGTAAATATGTAAACCTAAGGTTCAAAGAGAGAGAAGGGATATCTCAGTGACCTCTTTATCAGGAAGGAATTTGGGGAGCCATACCACTTAATCCTTTGAGCCCTTTGGGGTGAAAGCCTGAGCAGAGGTCAAACTCTGCCTTGGATCTTAAACCCTTATCAGACTCTTAAGATCGGCCCTCAACATGCTTTAAGGTTTGCAAAGTACTTTACAAATATCTTATTACATTCTCAATGGATGGGTGCTATTATTATCTCCATTTTACACATAAGGAAACTGAGGCAGAGAGGTTAAGTGACTTGTCCAGGGTCATGTGGTTAGACGCGAACTCAGGTCTTTCTGACTCGAGGTCTAGCACTCTAGTCATTGTAGTACCTACCTAGCTATGTCTTAGGAAGTATTAAAAGAAGACCGGTGGTGACCAGGGATTTGATAGTATCACTGTTTTCTGCTCTGATTGGACTACATCTGGAGGGCACCACATTTTTAGAAAGACAATGCCAATGTCCAGAGAGGATGACCAGGACGGTGCAAGGACTAGAGATCATAACATGAGAATCAGTTGAGGGAGATAGAACTCTTTAGCATGGAGAATGGAATGTGTGTGGTGTGTGTGTGTGTGTGTGTGTGGTGAGAGTGGAAAATAAGGGGGCAGCTAGATGGCGCAGTGGATAGAGCACTGGCCTTGGAGTCAGGAGGACCTGAGTTCAAATGCGGCCTCAGACACTTGACACTTACTAGCTGTGTGACTTACTAGCTGGGCAAGTCACTTAACCCCATTGCCTAGCCAGAGAGAGAGAGAGAGAGAGAAAGTAGGAAATAACACCATGACAATTGCCTTCCATATCTGACTCTTGGACACAATTAGCTCAAAGCAAAAGCATTTAATGAAATGGCATATCAAGACTAGTAGCAACCAAAAATCTCTCTGGTTTTTTTTGTTTCTGGGATCCACTCTCCCACAAACACACACAGAATTCACAAGCGGGTAGGCACACACACACACACACACACACACACACACGGAACACTTTGGTTCAAGGCACAAGTGAGGAGAGGCAGCTCATGCCTCTGATGCTGCAGGGTCTGATCTTCATCTTGTATTTTCCTTCAGATGATGCTCTCCTACATTCTATTGGATGTTACTTCACTACTGGGGTTACTGCTACCTCCACCTTTGGGCTTGGCTGATATCCTGGCACTCAATTGAAGCTGGACTCCTAAGTAGTGTTGACTCCTTTGCTTTTACGCTTGAACTCTCTCCCATTTATTCACATCAGCAAGTGGGCAAGGTCACAGGTAAACCTACTGTCGTGGCCAACAACCCTTAGCTCCTTTCTAACCTTTTCATATGCAAGAAAGCCACTAAAAGTTTAAATATTTGGATGGGATACTTAGAAGTATGAAAAAGAACAGCCTGAAGGGGGCTTTGCTTATGACAACAACCACTAGCAATTTTTTTTTTTTAATTTTGGCTAGGCAATGGGGTTAAGTGACTTGCCCAGGTTACACAGCTATTAAGGGTTATGTGTCTGAGATCACATTTGAAATCAGGTCCTCCTGAATCCAGAGCCAGGCCTCTATCCACTGCACCACCTAGCTGCCCTTACAACTAGCATTTTTATAGCACTTACAGGCCCTATGCTAAGTGTTTTGCTTTGCAAATTTCATTTATCTCATTTAATCCTCACAATAATCCTGGAAGATAGATGCTATTGTTATCTCAATTTTACAGTTGAGGAAATTGAGACAAAAAGAGCTTAAGTGACTTGCTGAGTGAGGGTCACAGAGTTAGGAAGAGTCTGAGGCTGAATTTGAACTCAGGTCTTCCTGACTCCAGGCCCATTACTCTATCTACTATGCCTTCTAACTGCCTTGCACATCTATAGTAGGTGCTTGATAAACTTTTTTTTTTCAGCTTTACTAGAACTAAAATCCAGGTTTCCTTTGCTTCCAGTTCAGTGGTTTTTTCATTGCATTAACTAGCTCTCTTCATGCAGAGTTTTCCTACCTAGGGTTGCTGGATACCTCACATACACAGGATTATCTCATTTTGATGTCTTAGCTTTGCAGGACATATAATGACCCTGTATTGGAGCCCAGACACTAACTGCAATGTGTTTTAGTGTACAATCTTTCCCTTTCTCAGAGTACTCAATTGGTCAGCATGTATTTTGTATTGTCCTAAATGAAATGGCATAGCCCTTCCACTGCACACTCATGCATGCACAAACTCTTGGTGGTTCCAGAAATTTTTTTTATATGAGACATAATAAAAATGATTCTGTTGCTACTAGAAAGTATCAGAAATCTTGTTCTTGGAAATTATTATCATTGCGAACTTTGGCTCCACACTGTCTACTTTAGGGATTAGAAACCCCTTGCCATATGTTAGCAGCAGATCAAAGTGTCCTAAGAAAGGGATATATCCTCGGGTGCCATTAGCATGTTCCCACGCCAACTTGGGGAACTGAGAAGCCAGAAACAATTGACTTTCTTTCCACTTGTCTGATTACCTGATACAGTTATCTCTTCTACATTGTGACTTTTTCCATCATGGTTTTGATATATTGCAAGTTGGCATAAGAAATTAAATGGAAATTTTTTGGGAATTTTGCAGAAGCTGCAGATGACATGTGAAGGCTAGCAGGTAACACAGAAAAAAGTTTAGAAACTCAAAAATGCATGAAATATATGTATAGTATTATATAATATCAACATATTTTATATTTTAATGCCATAATAATTCAGACTTTTTCTCTGGTATAAAGGGAAGGCCAAAAATTTTATGTGGATTTTCCAGATTGGGGGGGTGCTAGGCCCCAACCCCTGTGATGTGGAAGGGATAACTGTACTTATTGAAAACTGGAATATATGAATGTTTGTATTTGACTCCATGTAGAGAAATCTTTGAACTGGGCAGTTTGTACTTGAAAGTTCTTATTCTTTCTTTTTTCAAATTGTCACATTGTATATTCCCAGTAGAATGTATTCTTCTTGAAGGCAAGGACTTTTTTTGTCTTTGTTTCCCCAGGGCCTAATGCAGTGTGTGTCATATAGCAGGTGCTTAATAAATGTAACTAGAACGGAAAAACCCAGTGGAATACTATGTGATCATAAAGACCAAGCTTGGAGCTGGAGAAGAGTTGAGAAAATGCATCTCCTTTCCCTCTTGGTAGAAGTCAAGTATTATGGTATGGAACATAGGAAATACTGTCAGACTTGGTTAATATGTAGATTAGTTTGGCCAAACTCCTTTTTGTTTTGTTTTGGTTTTTTTTTAATTATTCATTAAATGGTATTGCTCATTGGGTTGGGAAGTGACAGAGACATATTCAGCAATGAAGGGAATGTAAATTAAAGAGATCAATGAAAATTAGCAATTAAAAAGTGTTGTTGGATTAAATTGATATCTAATATCAAAAACTGAAATACTCTAAAAGTTTTTTAGAAATTGAAATATTACAAGTTTATTGGAAAGGGAGGCACTCAGAGATTAGAGATGGCTGTTAATGTTGTTTTATTTCCTTTTACAAAAAAATGGAAATGACAGACAAATTATACTTGACAAAAAATAAAATAAAATAAAACCACTGGTCTTGAAGGACTTGAGCCCGAACAATTTAGGCCATTGGGAAAGGGAAGACCAGTTAATATACTTATATACCCATGCACCTGATAGAAACAAAATGGGATCAATGGTCAGATGAGTTTTGTTGTGTCTTTTACATGGTTTAAAAAATTATGTTTGTTCAGTCATGCCTTTAAACCATATATCTTTAAAAACGAGTTATATATACACAGTGTAAAAAAAGAGATTTCTTATATAGTCTAACTGCTACAAATTTAAGGCATCCTAATAATCCATTCTTTTGCTGGTGAGGATTATTTCTTATGGTCCTGTTTCCACAAAGGATATTTAAGGGATTTCCAACTGTGTCCAAAGGTCAGCAGTAAGACATGATGAGGTGTGATTACAAGAAGAGTTCCTGCAGCTCTGGCTCATCCACACTCTCTTTGCTTTGAGATTTCTCAATTTTCCGATTTATGTCACTACGCCTGTGGAGAAAAGAATGCACATTGCCAACGTTAGGGAAAACTGTGGTTATGTTACCAAATAACCCTGAGCCCAAACCAATCTGACCCAAATGTAAATTAATTGTCTTCATATAAACCACACAGTAAATATTCCAGTAACCAAATTACTTTTTCATATAAACTTCTCCTTTTTGAACAATAAAAGCAAGAGTCATGCAACGATACATACTTCCTTGAGTCCTAGAAGCACTTTCCCAACCTTACAGAAATCCCAGCTCCCAGCATTCAAGTCAGCCCTCTTCAGAGGAACAAGACAGGATGTGAGTAACAATGCAGTCTGCCATGTCTAGTTGAAACCAGAAGTACTCAGACAGTGTCTACATGGCATAGATCCACTGGTGAAGCCTTATATTCTCAAGGAAACCTGGCTCCCATTATGAAAGAATTGGAAAGCAACTAGTCAACAAGCATTCATTAAGCCAGGCATCATGCTAAGTTTGTGGACACAAAGAAAGGCAAAAACAGTCCCTGTACTCAGAGAGATTATATTTGAGTGTGTGAGACAACATGTAAATAATTAAGTATATACAACATGCAGAGCAGATAGAAGAGAACCTCACAGATGCTCTAGCATTTGGGGGAATGTTCTGGGCTGGCCCTGATTCAGGGCTTGGGAGTTTGATAACTGGAACAAAACGAGATACTCAATAGGTCATCCCTATCCAACAGTTTATAAAAAGATATTTTCTTAGATATAGCACAAGAAGGATATTCAACAACAATAGCCTCTGAGGACACCTTGAGTTGATTCAGTTGAGTGGAACTCCTTTGCCTGAGTTACCCATTGTGATCCACCAGCCAAGTATAAATGTACTTCTAGCTGTTTTGTACTCATGTGATGAGGGAGTGGTGCCAGCAGTCTGAGTCTTTAATCCCTAGTCAATCAAGTCTTGAGGAATGTATCAGTATTTTTTAAGGAAAAATTAGCCTAACTTTCATGGGAGGGAGGGGTTAGGACATTGCTTCTACCACAGAGAACCATCTCTGGGGACTAAGAAAGGTATGGTATAGAAGGTGGCATTTGGACTAAATCTTGAAGGAAACCAGAGATGCAAAGAGGTAGAGCATTCTAGGCATTGAAGATAGGATATTTGGGGATTAGTAAATAGCACAGCATGGCTGGATTATAGAAAAGATGGAAGAAAGAAAATTGTAAGAAGGATGGACAGGTAGAAAGGGACCAGGTAGAGAAATTTGAAACAATACTTTGCAAACTTTAAAATGTTATGTAGATGTCAGTTATTAACCAGAAAACCTAGTACAGTAGTATAATTGGTGCTGGAGTAAGAAAACCTGGATTCAAGTCTAATCTCTGCAATTTATTAACAGAACAATCTTAGGCAAGTCATTTAATCCTTCTGAGTCTCAGGGTTTTCATTGATAGAATGGGAATAAGAATATTTTTCCTGCTTCTCTCAGAGGTATGTTATAAAGATCAGAGAGCCAATGTCTGCAACTTTTCAAGGTGTATCATGTAGAATAATCTCACTCTAAATAAATCCAGAAAACAGAAGGAAATTGCAGTGAAATCAAAGGATGACTCATAGGTTCTTCTCAAAAAGGCAAATAAAGAAGTCAGTGAAATTGGCATTACTCTGTTTTATCCTGAAATCCAAAAGTAATAAAATATCTTTCGTGGGACACTTGAAACTGTCTGTATGGCATGAGAACATTGACATGTTGGAGTAACAATGAAAAGAAATGCCACGTGAGAAGAACAAAAGTGAGAAGATAAGATGTGCAATTAACACAGTTCCATCTCTATTTAACAAGCTGTCAGCATTAAAAATGAGTAATGGATAAAACAAAGACATGGAGATGAAATATTGTTATTTCTTAAGGATGTTTAAATAAATCAATCACCTTGAAAGCCAAGAGAACCAAGAAATTGCCTAGAAATGCTGGCTCTCTTTGCTATGTGGAGAGCTACAGCAGACAAGGGAACAGAATTTTAGAATATAAACTCATTTATAAAATCTTATGGAGGAGTAGGGCAGAAGATTATAAGTAGTATTGCTTCAAGGAACAGTAAGAAACAATGGAGGAAAAGCAAGCTTATCATAAGTTCAATGAGAGGTCCAGTTAAGTCAAATAGTTTGTGAGCATTTAAAAATGAACCTTGAAGGACAATGGATTGAACTAAAAGGGGGAAAGATCCATCAACAGTTCCATAAGAAACCTGTTTCTACATTATGACAGAGTAACAATTGTGTTTGAACTCTAACATCGTAGCCCTCAGCATATTTCAGGAGGAAGCAGAAACAGCAAGAAAACAAAGATATTCTGAGCAGCTATACTAGACCAAGTGTATACAGAAGATTTATGTGCTGAAGGCAGCACAATTTTGAGAATGGTGAGGGACAGAGTGTAAATATACCTGAAAGAGAAGTAGGCATGCTTTGGAAAAATCATGAGTTTTGTTGTTTCTGGGAAAAAGGAAATAATAATTTTTTTTAATGTCTAAAAATCTTTTAGTAACATACATATATAATGACGGTATTCGTGATGAGAACGGAGGCTTTCACAAAGAATATTATAGAGCAAATAGTAACACAAATGACTAAAAGGTCAAGGTCCCTGTGCTTGCTATTGATCAAAAACAAACAGCATTTGACAGAGGAATTGTGGAAAGATGGCGGTGTATTAGGACCTAGAGGAAACTGATGCCCCACTAATACCCTGCAATGCACCAGAAGGAACTGTGATTAAGAAAACCAAAGAGAAAAAAAGCTATAAGCTGCTTCATCTGGTCCAGGACTGCACAAAAGACTGCCAGAATCCTGTAGAAGCTTAGAACAGAGACACGAAGAAGGAAACAGTGAAGGAGCCAAAGCCAAAACCCAAATGGAGCTACAGGAGACTGTGCCAGGTGGATTTACAACTGTAAATCAGATATTCAAAAAACAAATTAATTCCAATTTTACATATAAATAAGAATGGAAGGAATCTTTCCAAATTCTTTCTATGACACAAATATGGTCCTGATATTTAAATACAAAAGATAAAACAGAGAAAGAAAATATAGACTAATATCCTTAATGAACATCAATATAAAAATATTAAATAAAATATTACAAAGCAGTCTACAATAATACATTTAAAAGATTATACACTATGACCCAGTTTGATTTATTATAAGGAATGTAGGTTTGTTTCAATATAAGGAAAATTATAAGTATAATAAACCATATTGATGACAAAAATAATACAATATGATTTCAACAAAATAACACCCATTTCTGTTAAAAATTTCTAGAAAGCTTTGGGATAAATTGACCTTCTTTACTATGGTAAGTGGTATCTATGTAAAACCAAAAGACAAAATTATATATAATGGAGAAAGGTAAAAGACCTTTCCAAAAAGATCAAGGATAAAGCAATGATGTTCATTTTCATCAGAGCTGTTTAAGCATAATGCTAGAAATGCTAGCTATAGCAGTAAAACAAGGAAAAGAAATTGAGGAAACAAATAGAAATGAAGAGGAAACAAAATTATAGCTTTTTGCAAATGATACAATGTTCTTTATAAAGAATCCAACAGTCAATGGAAAATTAATCTGGCCTCAGGCATTGACTCTGCCACTTCATATTTGGTTCAAATCAAGTCCACAAGCATTCATTAATTGCCTGCTACATGCCAGGCAGTGTTTTAAGGGGCTTTGAGCAGTCATACACTCCTTGTGTTTTATTTTCTTCATTTGTACAATGAGGGGATTGGTTTGAATTGTGCATTCCATTTCCAAGCTACCTTCCAGCTATAAATTGTTGAATGCATAGTCCTACAGGAGGCTAGGGTCTTCAAAGTACTCAATCTGGGAAGACTATAGGCATTAAAGACTGTCTCAGAAGTCATAGTTTCAAGTTCAAAATATTGATGTGAAGCTATTTATATGTATTTTATTTCCTGGAATACTTAAGTCTGGGGACAGTTGGCAGAAGTTGGAGGGATGATTATGTCCACTCCAAAATCCTCTATTGCAGATCTAGTCTTCCTGCTGCCTCCATATTGTTTTGCATCTTCAGAAAAGTCTCCTCTCCTTCCTAGGGGGATGGGGATCAGGACATTGTTGTTTGGATGGGGCCTAAAAGTTAAAAAGCAAATAATTCATTGTGCCACTTTCCAGGCCTCTGCCTTAATGCCAAAACCCATGAGGTTAAGACCAGCTGACTTTATACATAGAATTTCGCACACTTATACACACAAGCCCTGATGAAGTTGTCAGGCTACCACAACATCCCTTCCCCAAAATCCCCTACCAAGGGACTGTACTTGAGTCACTGATCTTTTCCAAAATACTAGTCTATAAGAATGAGGTTGGTGAGACTGTGCCCACATACATCTTCAATGAAGTGATCTTAGGTTGATCACAGCCACTTGACTGGATTTCATTGAAGAACAGTTTTCTGCTGGAGTCAAGTGTATACCTTATAGTACTTTAGAACCTAAATGGAGTGGTATTTTCTCCCTCCACTTGTGCAGATTTCAATACTTCTCATCCTGTGTGATTCTTGCCTATGTCTATCAATAAATCCTCCATTGTGTATGTGTTTGTGAGGGGTCCACTCAGTGTGCTGGGGGCCTTCTTGTATTTGCCATGCAAATACATGAAGACCACAGCAGCGCACTGGTCTCTCAAAAGAAGCATAACAAGTGTATGCATTCCTGTCTTTTTCTGGTCATGTATTTCTCTCTGACATCTTTTGATTAGTAACCTAATATCTTTTAATTAGTAAAAATAGTTTATTGTGCCTCAACAAAGGACCAGTATTAAAAAAATGGATCACCATCACCAAATATGACTCAGTATCAGACAATTTAAGGCTATTGGCACAGCAAAGAAAGACAGGCTTGTTAAATGAGATCAGGGCCACCTTTTGAGGATGACACTTTTCCTAATATATGCAGGGGAAGCATATTTCAGCTATGCCCTCATTCCAATCTTTTCCCTGAAGCCGTCCCAAAACCACCACACCTTTATCTACTTTTTACTGAATTTTTGACAATACTTCTCAGAGTATGAAATATACACATACATATCTACATATATGTAAAACTCTGACTCCCATGTGTATCAGAGAACTTCCTAACACCCTCAAATCATCACCCTTTTCTTGAAATCTGTGAATAATAGTGGAGAGTCGAAGTCTTGGTTTTGGATGCATAATTCCCAGCGTGGTTAATTTCTTGGGAGGAAAACCTACCACACTGATACCCACTGCTTAATGAAAATGCCTTTTAAAATACTGCACAATTAACTGCTTGGTACTAGGATAAAAGATTTCTCTGAATATTAAATCCTTGGGTATGGTACTGAAGCTGTGCCTTCAAGAGAGAAAGAAACCTAGTGGCCAAGTTTTAATGCTAAACTCCTTATCAGTAACAGGAGTTGGCATTCACTTTAATGTGTTATGGGTCACAGACTGACTTAAACTGTATTAAATCGATGTTTCACTGTATTTGAAGAAAAAAGTAATTGCAAACATTCCTTTCAAATTGTAATAATACAAAGCCAACTTGTTCTTTTAAAAAACAAAGCAAAACAAAAAAAAAAGATTTATCTGCTCATGGTAAAAGTCATCCTCTGCAATTGAAACATACTGTAGTTATTCAGTTGTAAAGTTGAATTGAATTCTAAAGGGTAAAGAGAGTTTCTTTCCTCTGTTCTCAAGCTGTGAGCAATTTAGAAAAGATAAAAGCAAACAAAAACCTCCTCTTGGAGTTGACATTTCTTTTAATTGCATATTCATTGTCCTTTTAACCGTCAGATACAGGGTATCTGTTTCTTCTTTTAACAGAGATGTTCTTGGGAGCATCAAGTCCAATTCAAGTGTATTCCTGGCAGAGGGTTCCCTACTGATAATTCTTGCTCATGGTCACAGTAAAGATTTTCACTAGAATAACGGCAGATTGGGCTTAATGCAATTTCCAAGTTCTAGGGGAATCCAAGTTTGAAAGCTGCTTTCCTCCAGCCTCCCTTCCTCCTTCTACAGACCATGCCAATCAGCAAATTCTTTTGTCTTTTGGTATGTTATACAGTATTTATCTCCACCACCAAGTCATGAGAAAGCAGTAATAGGTCTTGCTGTGGCTTTCTAAATCCACAGGATTTTTTTTTAATTCAGAAAAAATTTACCATGGAAATCCAGAAGGCCTTCATTAATTGCAGCCATTTCAGCCACAATCTGAGGCCCTTAAGCTTGAAGCACATCCCTAGGTGGAGAGAAGTAGCTATTTCTTCCTGCTGCTTTGGACAGGTGTTCACAGGCAAAATGAAGCTGAGAAGTGAATTAATCATTTGATTTATTCTTTCTCAATTCCTCACTTTGGCTTGAACACCTCTGAAAAAATTTCCTGTTCAGCTTGGAACACAAAGCTTCCTCTACCACGTATCTAACTAAGGCAATGTTCCTTTTCCTTCAGTGGGATTCTAAGAACAAGCCTGGGAAATTCTTTCTTTTGGTCAGGATTCAGTCATAAGACTCTAGCTCATCCTTCTCTAGCAGTTCCAACTATGGAGATGAGAAAACCATTCTTCCAACTTTCTAAGTAAAAGTTTTGGGAAGCTTAAAGGCTGAAATGAATCCCTTAAGAATCAAGAGTCCAGATGGGAACTGAGGAATAATTTAGCACAGAGAATGATGCATAATGTCTGGGAAATGCTTTATCTCTCCTCCCTTGCTCTTCATATCTGTCCTCATTTCTGTTCATGTAGAGAAACTGGGCCTTTTTCCAAGGAGTTGGAACCACAGTATTTTCTGGCTTTCCAGCCACCAGGAGGTGACAGAGTCACAATGGATAGAAGTGTAAACATTTTCCTTTGCTCCAAACATTTTTCTCGAAGAGTGAATCTTAATTTTTATGAGAACACATGTATTTTCATTACAAATATTTCTTATGGAACATTTTTCTCCTTTATTATAAACAAGTGGCTGGCACATAACAGGTGATTAATAAATGTTCCTTGGCTGAATGCTTAGCTTCAGCTTCAATCAGTAAACATATATTAATCACCTGCCACCATGTACCAGGCACTGTGCTTAAACACTGGGGATACAAAAACAGGCAAAAGATAGCCCCTGCCCTCAAGGAGCTTACAATCTAACAGGGAAACAACATGCAAACAAATATATAGTAAACTATATATAAGATAAATAGGAAATGATTAACAGACAGAAGGTACTAGAGTTAAGAGTGGTCAGGTGAAGGCTTCCAGCAAAAGATAGCATTTTAGTTGGGATTTAAAGGAAGTCAGAGAAGTCAGTAGTTGGAGTGGAGGAGGAAGTGTTCCAGGCATTGAGGATGACCAGAGAGTATGTCCAGAGCTGAGAGATGAAGTTTCTTGCTTGTTGAACAGCCAGGAGGCCAATGTCACTGGGTCAAAGTGCACAAAGAATAAGACAAAGTTCCTTGTCGAGAAAATGAGAGAATTGGACTAGATGACCTCTGAGGTCGCCTTCTAGCACTAAAGCTTTATGGTTTAGTTCATAGTCTTGATGCACATAGCAAAAGAAGTTAGGCATTATGGTGTGGATCCTTAGGGAGCTGGCCTTGGAGTCAGGAAGACCAGCGTTTAAAGTCCTACCGCTGACACACACTGGCTGTTTGACCTTGAACAAGTAAGTCAATTACCAACCCAAGTAACTTCAAGGCTAAACTGAAGAACTGTTGAAGATCTTCATCGGTAGAGGGAGTTTCCTTCTGGAAGCTCTCTGCAACTTTGAAATCAATGATCCAGAAAAAAAAATTGGAAAAAACCCCTCCATTTTAATATAACAAAGACTTTGTTGCTCCTTAAGATAGCATTGTGGTGAGAAAGAACACTTCCAATCTTTAACTGGCAATCAAATAAACACTGCCTTTTTCGAAAGTTCTGGTTCTGACTTGAGGCTGGCTCACTTCATGCATGACAGGAAATTTAATTTCCATGCTCATCTGGCCCTTTACTCTCTTTCATCAGAGACGGAAAGTTATGCCAAAAGCAACTAAGCAACAGAGAGGATTTACAAACCAGGCTGCTTTCCTGTGCACCCTGTGCCTGTTGACCACCTCACTAAGCCTCTTTGCTCAATCATTTGCAACCTTGATCAAAACTTGATTGGCAGTTAATCGATTGTCATTGATCTTTCTCTTGTACCAACTACTGAACAAATGAGGTCCAGAAAAAAAAAATGAGGTCCAGGATGGTTTGTTAAGAACTTGTGCAACTCAAAATTAAGGCAAGAGAAAAGTGGGTTATTTCATTTCATAATGCACATACCATGCATAGTTACGCAGGTGTTCTTCAAGCAGCAAGTTAGAGGAAAGATTGGTACAGCTGGTGCTGTGAGTCCCCTAGAGAAGTACAATGCAAAGTCAGTGAAAACATGCAATGATCTGAGCACATGCACAAAACTCAGGGAGCTTTGAATGTGATGCACAAAGTTGAAAGGTGAGGAGGCACATGCTGAATACTTGAAATAGGAGCTTTTTTGGAGATATTGTAAGGGACGCAAACTTACAAGTTACTAGGATAAATGCCATTTAAAAGTGTCTTAAGTTTTGATGTAACATTTAAGCAAAGGCAAAAGTCTATTTGGGGCCATTTCAAGGACTGTGTTATCATTCCAGATAGATTAAAATTCAAGAAAAATTCCATTATCCCCAACAGTACCACATGATGTACAAATCTCGACCTTAAGAGACTATCCAGGCTCCAGCCAATGGTTATTTAGAATAATAGTCAATGTGACTCAATTAATTACTAACAAATTTAGGAGTTCTTCAGCTTAAACAATAATTTGGAAAGCCAACATCCAGTTATTCCAGATCAGACTACTGAATTAGTGGCTTATTTAGATCCTTTGATTTCCTACTTCTTCCTTGTCTGACCTCTCCTTCAGTGTCCATGGAACTTTCAGACTTCTCCACTTGGAACATTTCATTCCTCATTAACATTTCCACCAGATTTGGACAGGGACAAGAAAAGAGGGTGAAATACTAACTAGCTGATTAATTTTGTACCACGTGAAGCACAGCTCTAGGTGACCGTGGGCAGCATAGGTGTCTGTACCAAAATCTCAAATGAAGTCTGGCTGATTTCAGTTATATGTGCTATCTAGACTTTCTATTATTACAGGTTGATTGTATCACTTGAATTTCATTTTAACCTTTTGTCCCTCTTCAGTGGTATACACAGAGGGTTTGGAGAATGTTTCCTAATATAATGTTCAAGATCTCAAACTTGTATTTCTCCATAGCCTCCTCTGCAAAACAACATATACAAGAATCTATTCTAACACATTGGCATGTCCCAAAAGTCTTAGTGCAATTTAAAGCCCTAACTTATTAAACTTAAATAGCTTAAAATGAACTGAGACTTTTAGGACACTCTGTACTGTAACTTATTTGTTTTAAATATAGTCTCTTTAAAATGCAGGTTGGAAATCATTGCTGCAATTCCATATTAATGCAGGTACTTTAGGAATATATGTTTTAAATAATAATTATTATATAAAATAAATATGATAGTATTCATTATTATATATTTAATGCATGTTAAATATAGAAATGCACTTATAAGGGTATATTTTATATATTTGCTCCCTCAAAAGTTATACCCACATTTAATAGGCAATTCTTTAGAAACAGGATTTCTACTTGTGTTTTCATCAGTTAGACTTAAGAGTCAATTCGTCATGGATCGGAAGAATCATTATCAAGAAGACAGCTTTCATGGGTAGGCAGTTTAGACTGTAAGTTTCATGAAGTCAAGAAATGTGTCTTATCTAAGTTTTATGTCTTTTCCAACAGCTATCATTCTGCTCTGCACCCAGTAGGCTTTTTTTTTTTGGCAATTAGGGTTAAGTGACTTGCCCAGGGTCACACAGCTAGTAAGTGTCAAGTGTCTGGTCTGAGGCTGGATTTGAACTTAGGTCCTCCTGACTCCAGGGCCAGTGTTCTATCCACTGCACCATTTAGTTCCCCCCGCCCCTGACTTTTAATAAATGTTTGTAGAAATGAATTGAATGTGTGGCAGTCTTGGGAACAAAGCTCATAACTTCCCTGGAATTAAGCCATTTTAGTAGACTGGAGAATCTGAATCTGATTTCTGATGAATTTATTTGCTCCCTCAGAACATTTGCTAAAGAGGAATAAAAAACCCCCATGAATTCTATGTGTTATCTGTTTATCTACTCATCTTGTTATCAGACTCTTTAAGGACTCCCTTAATGTGACACAGGACAAAAATCTGCTCCATGCTGAATAAGAAACAAGACATTAGTTAAAGAGTAAAAGAGATTTTCCACATAGCACTCACTGCCTTAGTCTTTCCTTTGCTAGCAGAGCTCACTGAATTTCCCTTGGCGTCTGCAGTTTTCCTTCCTAGTGAGGTAAAGGGCAGTGTTGAGGTCTTGGTCTGGTTGACTGTCTGACAGTTATTGTTATTGTTCTGGTTGCCACTTAATGTCTCCATTATGGACCTGAAAGTTCCAAAAGGCCTTTTCAGTTGATCGCTTGTCTCATTATTTGGGGGAAGTCGCTGAAGGACCTTACCCCGATCTTTGTCCTTTTCCCCATTAGGTTCAAGGTCAGTTTGCTCCACCTGCACCACTGGCTCCTCAAAGGTTACTCGCAGTTTCAAGTTTTGGGAAGTTCGGCGCTTGGAAGACGGAGACTTGAGGGCACTTTTGGGGCTGGTAGCGACCTTTTGAGCAGTAGTACTGTCAGGGGTAGACTGTGTGATGTCCCCAGGTGACTGGCCCTGAGGTGTACTCCCAGATGTTGCATACTGGGTTTCTAAGTCCAGATCACTACTTTCTGAAGTAGGGGATGGGCTATGGCCTTCCACAGACTTGGAGGCCCTGATGCTAAAAGGAAACCTGCGTCCTGTGGCCAAAGTGTGCTTTTTAATCATCAGGTGTAGGCTTTCGGCACTTTCCACATTTTCCACAATGGGCTGAGGCCTTGGTTTATCAGTCCTTCGCACAGGAGTGTTCTTGAGGTCCTCTGAATTGTTCGAGTCTGTATCAGACTCACTCAGTGACCTCTGCATCAGCTGCCTCAGTCGGGCAAGTTTCAGCTCTCTTTTCTCTGGTGGAATCTTTTTCATATTCCTCGAGGAAGCCTGAGCATCCTGGAATTCCAATGACAGCTTTTCCTGGGTACAGACATTCTCAGAAATTTCTTTCCCTAGTAACTGGCGAAGGATTTTATCTGAGTCTTCATCTTTTGCCCTGAATTTGGTACGGTTGGAGGCTGATATGCTTCCAAGAACCTGAATCCCATCTTGGGTGTTGGACTTATTTTTTGTTACACACAATTCATCTGAATCAATTGACTTCCACTGGGATTTTCCAGAAGCTGGTGAAGATGGTGAACTAAAACAAAAGGCAAAAGAAAAAAAAAGAGGTGTGATACCTTGTTTACAAATTATAATGACTCATGTTAAGAATGCTTAATGGCTCTTTCTGTGGACCAAGAAAAACCAATGAAAATTATATTAAAGCATGTTGCCAATATATCATAATACCTATTCATTTGACCCTATGAAAGATGAAGCAAAATGCCAAATATTGTTTTCTACAACCTGAGAGAAATGATTATTTCTCTCTTGTATTTAATAATTAATTATTGAATTAGGACCAAGGTTTTTCCCCTTTTCTACTTCCTCATCCAGAAATCAACCAGTGTGGGAAATCTTGGGCAAGACTTACCTAGCCAGGAAGGCTAAGATCTAATCAAAGACAGTAAAGAAACTCTAAGTTTGGGCAAATGGGTGGATTCCCAGACAGGTCTGGGAAAATGTAGATTCTCCCTTTTGTCAGACTGGTGATGTGGATATTGATGTCTCTTTGACCAAGATTCAGTGTTCTGTAACTCAAAACCTTCACTGGAATAAGTCCACCTTTCATTATAATAGTTATTCTCTCATTATCTGTTAACCCATCAGAGTTGATTTCTGCCCTCAGGTGCACTCCATTTTCAAAAGACTTTATAAATATAGAAGGGTCAACAGGCTCAGTGTCTTTGGCTACCAATGGGAACAATCAGTCTGTTTTGTTGACTACTTTCTAGTCGTAGTCAATAAAACTGATTACAATTTACCCCAAAACTCAGTCTCTTGGAAATTTTTAATCATCATAATCCTAAGACTAAAATAATATTGTATAAACTTTGGGTTTCTTGTTGACTTTTGAAAATAGTAACTATAGAGATTGATAGTTTCATGCCCTATTTCCTTTCTTCTTTAAAAGAAGAAAATTACCTACCCTTGCAATTTTTAAAAAAGTAAAGGACAAAAGAGAGAGCAGGGATTTAAAATAAAATGTCTGTAAGAATTTGAGGCAGTTGGGTGGCACATTGGATAGAGTGCTGGGCCTAAGGTCAGGAATCCTCATCTTCCTGAGATCAAATGTAGCCCCAGACACTTCCTGTGTGACCCTGGGCAAGTCACTTTATCCGGTTTGCCTCAGTTCCTGATCTATCAGTTCTTCATCTATAAAATGAGCTAGAGAAGGAAATGGCAAACCACTCCAGTATCTTTGTCAAGAAAACCCCAACGAGGGTCACAAAGAATCAGAGAGGGCTTTTTGTCTTGAACAACACACAACAAAAGAATTCCAAACACCAACATTTTTTGCTATTACCTGGGGGAAGAAAGGAGGGATTTACCCTCTGATCTCTGTGCTTCTAAAAGCTGCTGGAGTTGGTTCTGCAGAGTGACACGCTCCATTGTCTGCCTGAAATTAAAAAAACAAAACAAAACAGTGCCGTTTAGAACTTTTCCTCTATGGTACTTGGTATTCTCTCACTTAGAGGAAAACATGGTGCTGAACTATATTATTTTCTGCCTTGACACAAAGGACATCAGAAACCCTCTTCAAGTTAAGAGATGCAGGGAAGCCATTTTTTATAAGAAGTGAAACCAATCTATGAATAGTTTTCTCACATCATATTAACTACCATAAAGTATGGTACTTGAACTAAATGAACCAGACTGACTGTGGCTGGGCAGGAATAGTCAATGTCTACTGATTTGGCTCATCAGTGTTAGAAGTGAAAGCATGGAGTCAGGAGGACCAGAGTTCAAATCTGGCCTCAGACACTTACTAGATGTGTGACCCTGGGTAAGTCACTTAACCCTGATTGCCTCCAAAAAAATTAAAAAAAGGAAGTGAAAGCAGCCCAAATGGTGCAAAGTGGCAAGCAAATCATACCAAGGAATGACAGCTTCTATGGGCATCTCCAGCACAAAACATCTCCACTTGAATGCTTGCTGGGACCTCAAACCCGACATGCCCAAATATAACTACTTATCATCTTTATTCCTAAACAGGCTTCTCTTCCTCTTCCCCTTTATTATTATGATGATATTTTGGCAAATGGCATCACCTTACATTCTGGAATTAACATTTGAAAACTTAGCATTACCTCTTTCTTTACCCTCACTTCTTTATTATTATTATTGTTATTAATTATTATTATTGTTTTTATTTTTAACATGTGTTTTTAAAACTTCGGGTTACAAATTTTCTCCCTTCCTCCCTCCCTACCCACCCTCATTGAAAAGGTAAGCATATTGATAGAGGTTATAGATGTGTAGTGCAACACACTTCCATAGTAGTCATGTTGTGAAAAACTAAGTATATTTCCCTTCATCCTATCCTACCCCCATTTATTCTATTCTCTCTTTTGACCCTGTCCCTCCTCAGAAGCTTTTGCTTCTGATTATCCCCTCCCCCAATCTACCCTCCCCCTCTATCAACCCCCTGCTCTCTTGTCCCCTTCCACTCTTATTTTCCTGTAAGGTGAGATAGATTTCCATACCCAATTGAGTGTGTATGTTATTCCCTCCTTAAGCCAAATCCTATGAGAATAAGATTCACTCATTCCCTCGCACCTTCCCCCATTTCCCCTCCACTGTGAAAGACTTTTCTTGTATGTTTCATGTGAGATAATTTACCCCATTCTACTTCTCCCTTTCTCTTCCCAGTATAATTCTCTTTTACCCCTTAATTTTATTTTCCAGATATCACCCCTTCATCTTCAACTCACCCTGTGCCATCCATCCATCCATCTATCTATCTATCTATCTATCTATCTATCTATCTATCTATCTATCTCTCTATCTCTCTATACATACATATAATTTTTTTTCCCTCCCACTACCCTAATACTGACAAAGGACTCATGAGTTACAAATATCATTTTTCCATGCAGGAATGTAAACGGTTCAACCTTATTAAGTCTCTCATGATTTCTCTTTCCTGTACCTCTTCCATGTTTCATTTGAGTCTTGTATTTGAAAGTCTGGTCTTTTCCTCAGGAATGCTTGAAAGTTCCCTATTTCACTAAATGACCATTTTTTTTACCGTGAAGGATTATACTCAGTTTTGCTGGGTTACCTTCACTTCTAATAACTAATCAGCTACCAAGTCATGTTCATTATACATAACGCAATGTGTCTTGCAGCTCCTCCTCTCTATTCCTACTGTGCTCCCTTTAAGAGAGACCGTCATAACCACTCTCTTTGGCTATTATAATAGCTACATAAAAGATGCTCACACCTGCACATTCTGAATCCTAATCTTTTATGTCGTGGCCAAACTAACTTTTCTTAGGCACAGATTTCTGCATGAAATACTAACAACAATAACAACGACTCTTCAAAAGCTCCTTATTGACTATCTGACACATACAAATCTCTTAGTCTTGGATTTAAGACCCTTCACAATCAGTACCAACCTACTTTTCTTGTCTGATCCCATACTCCTACCATGTATTTGATGGCTCAACCAAACTGGACTATTTGTCACACATATCCTACCTTGCCACTGGGCCTTTGCTCATGTCCTTTCCATTTGTTGAATCCATGTTTTAAAGACCAACTCAAATGTCACCTTCTATAGGCAGCCTTTCATCGGTCAGTAATGATCCTTTCTCCCTTGGTTCTTATACAGAACTCCGCACATCTCTCATGCACTTACATAATTGTTATCTGTGTATGCTATATCCCTCGACTAGACCACATATTCCATGAGGACAATCATTGTTTTACATGTACTCTGAAGCTACTTTACTAACATTGGCAAACTGGGTCTCCACAGGGCAGCTACTATATCTCCTGTCAGGTTCTTGGAGATGATTTTCTAGTATTATAGATTTTAGGCCACCCTTGGTGTGCTTCCTCCATTGATTATCAGTTGATCTCAGTCAGCCAAATTTAATTAGTTTTTGGAAACAGGTACTCACTAAGGGGAGTGTACTAAGAAGAAATAGCACAAAACATCCCTCCGATCTCTGTAAGATACTTTCTCATAGTAATATATAGAGTCCAAGGGGATGTGGACACCAAATTACAAAGTACATGTGGCAAAGGGTTAACTCACAGTCCTTTTTCTCCCTTGTAGGGTATTCATGAAGTTCCCCTTAGATATGTAGTTGTTTTCTGCTGTCTTATTGTTCTTTTTAACATAGTCCCTATAAAAGATAGGTTGGAGACCACTACTACAATTCCATGTACAGACAAGCACCTTAGACGTTTTCTTCCTCTTGAGTTAGCGTGGTATTGTTGCTCACACTTAAGTCTTGAATTTACTTTTCTTCAGTGTGTCTAGATTGACTTCATCTCCTGATGCAGATACTGTCACCAGTTGCTGCCATTCCAGGAACTTTGCTAGGACACTACTGAGAAGTACAAATCATGCAGCCCTCCGATGTTCACAAGGTCTTCCTCTCTTCCTCTAACGATGAGTAGAAAGGTGACAGAGGAGCTGTCTCCTTTCCCAGATCTCCAGAAATTCTATCACAGAGACTTGGCTAGAATCTTCTCTATACTGCCAGACACTCCCATGCTTGGAAGTTTTGAACAGGCTTTCTATTTTATATAAGACCCACATGATGTAAAGGAGTTTCTTCAGATAATGTAAATGTAGCTCCTGTGCAGACTCACTCCATTTTCTCCAGTATATTTCTTTCAAAGACTTCTCAAATCTAGTCTAAATGTTGATTCAATTACAATAGTTAACTTTGGGGTTAGGGGGAGTAATTGATTCAATAGAGACATCTAGGTCTCTTTCACACCTAGCTGATGCCTCTGATTGATTTAGTTGAGAAATCAGTGATCCTCATTCTGACACTATAACACCATAGGTGCTTAATAAATATTGTTGAACTAAAGTATTACTATCCCTATTTTAGAGATGAGAAAACAGGCTCAATGAGAGTCAATGCATTAGATGGGGAAAAGCCCTGGATTTGCGATCAGAGAACCTGGATTCAAATTCCCTCTCTGTAAAATGAGGGGTTTGAACTAGATGATCCCTAAGACTCTTTCTGTTGTTAAATTTGTGTGTAAAATTGTGTGACTTTCTGAAGGTCACACAATTAGTAAGTGATACCAGGACATGAGTCCACGCCTTCTGATTCAAGTGTTTCTCCAACATTGCTTCTTTAAAACACAAGTGCCTTCCCTGGGGAAGAAAGCTTTTTCTTACTTTCCTAATGGCTAACTTTAGACTCTGTCTTTTTAGAGGCCATTTCCTCTTCTGTTCTAAAGCCAATTAACACTAATTACTGGTTACCCAAACCTAGTGCCATGAAAGCTAACCTAACCAACACAACCCCACAGCAATGTCATTATTCTTCTCTGGAGGTAGTGAGTCTGAGTTTGTCCCAGTAATGAAGGATTAAGAAGAGTATGAGTTTATTCTCATTTTCTCTCATTCATTCTGTCAAGCCCATCTGCTGCTGGAGCAGACCAAAGGTGAAAACCTAATTGGTTACAGAAAGGACAGAAGGTCAGGGAAACCGTGAAAGGATAATGCTTTCTTTTCACAGCCTTTCTTATTGCTGAGTGGTGATAGACAAGAGGCTTGCTATGGAAATTGTGTAATGAGTGACTGATGCAGGGAGTTTCAGATATGCTTTCAAAGAGTTTATTAGGTAGCTCTTGGGAGGTTGTGACTTTCTAAAAGAAGTAGTCAGAAATAATTGTGTTGAGTAGTAACATGACATCTAAAGAGATTGGCTAAACCTTAGGAAGGAATGACAGTCTTTACTCAATTTTCTCATCTGAAAAAAGATAATTTAAAAGGGACTAATCTAAGTAATTACAAATGGACAAAAGACAACTCTTGAAGGAAATAGCACTGTGCTTATTCACTAAGTTTTTGGCAAAAAGGAAGGATACCATTTCAACTATCACTTCCATTCATTTTTAATTCTTGTTCCCCACAATCTGTGCCCCTACTCTGGTAAATCTACTTTTTAAGAACTTATGGCAACTCAGACACTTCAAGACAGAAATATTTGGTAGTTTTATTCCCTAGTATGTGCCCTACTGTGCTTCCAAATAAAACTCGACTTTCTTTATCTATATAGAACTATTCCCAAGCCCACACAGATACCCCCCATCTTGTCCTCCCTCTGCCTTTTTTTCTGAATCACTCCTTGCTAGATCTAGTTTTCTCCCAGAATCAAATTCCCTTACAAAGTAATTATCTCAAGTTTAAGTTTCCCTGTAAACTGCTAGGGATTATAATAAGAAAATACTGCTTATCTATTGCCTAGTGTAATATATTGCCCATTGAAAATCTTCTATGTACCAAGCTGAACTTGGTCCACTTAATCCTATCTCAAAATTGAGATTCCTCATGCTCCTTAGGTATCCTGAGCCTAATCCTTTCACAGTATTAAAACCTACTCTGTGAACAAGAGGTTCTGGCCTATCCCCAAACTGATTTATGAGTTGTATTTCTTAAATAGGCTTAGTTGAGTGGGGAATGGGCATCTACTAGAAAAAATAATAGCCATACAGGTCCTTTCCCTTGTCTCTAGCCCTTTCCCCTTGTTTGGACTTCCATCAATGTCTTTTACAGGGAAAGTAGGAGCCCCACCCCTCCCCTAACTCCCCCACCCCCAACCACATGCCAGGTTATTTATTGGGTCTATGGGAACTAAAGGAAAGAGATAGTCAACTGCAGCACTCATACAACAGATAAAGAAAAAACAAGGCCACAGGGACTGAAGCTATGCCCATTAAGCTGAACCCTTTAAGTCATTTCAGGTTTCCCAAACCTGACTGTAGTATACTGTAATAAAACTATTCAACTAGAGAAGGCCCTGGGGTCATCATAGAGCCTTTATTATTGATTTATCATAACATTGGCTACATTCACTTAAATACTTTTATTAAGCTATTCTCACCGACAAGATCTGAAGGAAATTGAAGGACTGTATCACATTAGTGTGCATATATATTTTAGCCTAGGGCCATTGACAAAGCTTGTAACTGAATTGCTGAACTTGGGCCATTTGCCAGAAGAAAAAAAAGAGTTTAAGACAGCATCCCTGATTGTTTAGTAGGTGATTTCTATGCATCATGTACTCTGAGGATCAGTCTGAAGGACACAGTAAAGAGAAATTGTTGTCGTTCTAAAGCGTATTTTTCTTCCCCATCTTGCTAAAGAAAAGAGATGAGTTCTTTCATGTATTTGCCAGGTGGACTTATGCATGGAATTCTAAAAACCACAAGCAATAGTTCATTGTTCTATCCTGATTCAACTCCTTTTTATCTGAGCATTCCTTTTTGGTTTTCTTTGAGAGTTTAGAGTCTTTCTTCTACCTCTTAAGTGTGAGTATCCCCAGTGTTCTGTCCCTGTCCCTGTCCCTAATTAGATACTTTCATTCTTGATGATATCTAGCCATTCTCATAGCTTCAATTATCACTGCTATTCACATGACTTCCAAAGTCTCTCTTTCTCCAGTTTTAAAAGTCTATATTCAGTCCTGAATTAATATTCAATTAGTTAATTCAATTAATATTAAATTGGCCAAACTTTTTATGTGTTTGTGTATGGATGTGTAATTTATTAGATTATCTAGTTTACCTAGCTAAAATTAACAATCAAATATTAAATGCTAAATTGGTATTTTTTTCTCCTTTGAACTTGTTGCATGTAAAATTATTCATTTCAAGAAGAATAATGCCTGAGCATGAAAAAGATCTTTGTGTAGGAAACCAATAAGTCCTAGAAAGTTGTCTGAGAACCATAGAGGTTAAGTGACTGATTTTCCAAAGGTTACACAGCTATTTTGAAACCAATTCTTACTGATTTCAAACATAGCTTTCTCTCCACTATACAACTGCTTTAAAATAATTTGCATTTAAACTTACCCAGTCACTGTAAGAAAGAGACTAATGGATGAAGAGAATGGAAAGCTTGTGTTCTGGTTAGTCTTGTAACCTCACCAGAAAAGTTTGGTGGTCTATGTTACAAAGATGTTTCCCTGAATCAGTGCACGAGCAGACCTATATTTGCTTGAGTAAAATGCGGTAAGGCAAAAAGTGAACTTAACTTGGACTCAGTGGACCTTGGTAGGTCACTGATATTTTTGGCTTCAGTTTCCTTCTTTAAAAAATTACAGAGAAAGTGATGACCGGCATTGGTAAGATGATTTTCCTCACCAAGTAGCTCCCTGTGTAAGTGAAACCACAGTTCTAATCCCTATCCCTTAATATAAAACCATATAAAAATGAAATAGATTCTAGAAATTAGCCATACAACCCAAAAGAAGGAAAAAGCACTTCAATAACACCTCGGGCTAGCAATTCAGAAACATCATTTTTTTCCTACTGAAAAGGAACCAAAACTCACTCCTTCAGCTGCTTGGTTAACTTCACAACTTGAGATGCCAGAGACATGCATGTCTCTACCACCACTAGGTAACGGGAACACATGGTATGCCCATGCCGCTCAGCACTTTGGGAGGGTTTCTCTCCTGCATGATTCTGCATGGTGACATTTGCTCCATATTCAACCAAAGTCTGTCAAAAAAAATTCAGAGAAATTTATTTGGAAAAGTATCATCAAAACTTTCTTTCTTGTTGTCATCACCAGGATTCATCTAATAACAACTGCCAACATCTGACGTTAGGTACAGCATTGTCCTAGCTCATTTAAACCCCCCTGAATGTGTTGTAATTTTTCCATTTGCCAAACAAAACTTCTGGTCTCTTAATTCTTAGAGTGATGAAAATCAAAGCTCATTAAGGGAAAATATTTTCTCTCTCAAGCTTATGATCATCCACTATGCAAAGGTGAGCCCAACACTTGATACTTACTCACCTCACAGGAGTATTGAAAGAATGAGCAATGGTGATCATAATTCCCTACTGATTCTGACCTCAGAATTTTTTATTCTAGCACTTTCTTTCTCCCTTTGTCCATTTTCTTGGTCATTTCTTTTTCCTTTAGCCACTTTGTTTGTCTCTGCTCTTTCTCTCTCCTACCATCTAGAAACCTCCTCTTCTCAGACTCTTTTCTATTAATACTATTTTTCATAACATGAGGGCTAGTTATTAAACAGTCCAAGAAGAGAAATCTTTTCTCTTTAGTGATGATTAATTTTAAATTTGCTAAAGAGGCAAAGGACCATCTAGTTGGTAATCTAGTAGGTAATAGCAATTTATTCTCTTTGTATTTCATCTCAATATTTTTTTTTAAAGACTGAGAAGTGTGCCTATAATTCTCTACAAGTTTTTGAAGTGCTGATGCAGTGTTTGGTTCTTTTCCAATTCTACTGTCATCCATCTTTCACATCCAATCAGTTGACAAAGCACAATTAATTCTACATCCACTACCTCTCTTATATGCTTCTCTTCCTCTCTCTGCACATCACCAGTACTCTAGGTTAAGCTGTCATCACTTCTAGCTTTAACTGCTACAATAGCTTCTGATTTAGATCATCCACTCTCTTCTTTCCTCTCTAATTCATCTTCTACCCAGTTAGGTGGATATCCCTAAAGCACAAGTCTGACCACTTCATTCCTCTGATTACGAAGCTTCAGTGGTTTCCTATTGCCTCTAGGATAAAATACAAACTTCTTTGTTTGGCATTTAAACCCATCACAATCTGGCTTCTGCCTAATTACATGTTATTCCTTGATACACTCTTTTCTAACCAAATAGGCCTACTTTTTGTTTCTCATACATGATATTACATCTTCCTACTCTATGCCTTTGCATAGGTTCTGTCCCATGTCTGGAATACTTTTCCTTCCTTCCATCTCTTGGAACTCTTGCCTCCCTCCAAAGTTCATCTCCAGGATCACCTCCTTTGTTAGGCTTTTCCTGCTACCCATGGTTGTTAGTTACCCCCTGCATTCCCCAAAATAACCATGTATTTATCGTGTGTGTGTATGTGTGTGTGTGTGTGTATACTACATTTACTTTTCTGTGAACATGTTGCACTAAGCCCACTCTTTAGCCCCCTCAGCATTTGGGTTCAGGATTGTACTGACTTTGTCTTTGTACCACCCCCACCCTACCCCCCTGCATAGCACAGCGCCAGGCATAGTAAGCACTTTATACCTGCTTACTGATTGATGAACCCTCAAACTTGAGGCTAAATAAATCAGTGACCTTTAATTTTTTCCCTCCCTACTTCTCTCCTCTATATTCTACCTAATTTCTTGACATTCCTTTTAAAATGTAGTGTCACTAAGTAAAACCAGTAAATAAAAGGTATTGTAATGGGAAGATGATTAAAATGTTTCCATATTTTATTCCTGATGTGATTTAGTACTAGGCTGGCTTTGCTATAGCCACACTTAACATGACATTCTATTAGGGCCCTTAGATTCCCCTCTACCTTACATTTTGCCTAATTATTTTTTTGTTGTTATGCTTTTAGTCATTTTTCAATTGTGTCTGACTCTTTGCGACCCCTTTTGGGGTTTCTTGGCAAAGATACTGGAGTAGTTTGCCATTTCCTTCTCCAGCTCATTTTTCATATAAGGAAACTGAGGCAAAAGGGTTAAATGGCTTGCCCAGTCACTTAACTAACTAAGACTAAGGACAGATTTGAACTCACAAAGATGAGTCTTCCTGACTCCAGGCCTGCTGCACCATCTAGCTGCCCTAATCATTTATTACCTTATATAATATCACAAGCATATTTTTGTGTAATCTGTTTTTCTTCTCTAGGTATAGTCTCTTTTTCTTTTCTGTCTTCTCTCATTATTTCAAACAGCTTCTCCCCTACTGAACTTTATTATAGTTATGACACAGAATGAATAAGTTCTTACTTACGTGACTTGGTGTGTATACAACCCATTATACATATGCACATAGTTCAATACAATCATATATACAGATTATTCTAGGGGGCATTACATATATATGAGCATATCATATGCATAGATTTGAAGTGATTTGGATCGTATACTCTGTCTATTCTAACACTTGCTAGAGAATGTTAATTTAATCCAGATATTCTTCCTTCATTCTAATGTTACCTATTTGCTTCTTATTAGCAACACTGACTGTCCTTATTTGACAGATTTCTCTATCCCTCCAAGGAACCCTGAAGCTAGTGGAGTGAGAACCTGGCCTACCTGTATACATCCTAGGTACCCGTGCTGTGATGTTACATGAACTGCACTGTTACCATCTTGGTCAACTTCATCCAAAGAGATCCCTTGTTCTTGCATAAACTGAAGAAGCCAGAGAAGGATTTTCTCCTACAAAATAACAAGTCACATGGAAATTAGTAAAATCACATGAAAAGAAAATAAGCAGAAATAACGAAAAGGAAAAATAAAAGTTCATGTAGAGGAGCTTAGAAACAAACAAGTTTTGTGTCACATAAGAGTATTCTTATGAGGCTGGAACTGCAAATCATTAAAACATTTGAAGAGAATTAAAGAGGCCTGTATCCCTGTTTGAATAGGGAAGAAATTTAGAAAAATCCCCAACTTAAAACCTGAGAAGGAACTTTAGTGTTAGAAGCGATCTCAGAATTTACCTTGTTGAATCCCCTCATTTTACAGATGAAAAAAACAAATGGAAGCCCAAAGTCACATAGTTGCTAGAAGGAAAGCTAGCTTAGAGTTTTGGGCTCCTGGTTCCTAGTTCTTTGTTTTCCAACTACTCCAAAAGAGCCCTTAGAATTTTCCGAGATTGTTACAAAACTTATGAAAAAATAAATAGCAAATACTATTTTGATGAGTGTCATTTGTATTTACACTTGAAATCCACCTCCATTTCTTCCTGCTGTCAATAGGAACACTAGAAAGGGTAATACCAGGATGTCTTGGAGAAACAGGTTATGTAAGAAATCACTAGGGATATCAAATTGGAATCCCTTGTGATTTCACTAGACTGAATGTCAGTGTTATTTTAAGGGTTATTTTTACTTTTTAAAATTTCCATTACAAAGTAGGGTAAACCAAAGCTGTGAACACCGCTCTCCACAGGCCAAGAGGCAAGATGGTAAGAATGCTTTGCTAAAACCCATTTCTGTGGTATTCCCATGTTATAGTTGGCTCCAGGAGAAAGCAGGGGAATGACAGTGTATTACATTGGTTTAAAATAGAAAAATTAAATATAAAGTTTAAATAAATATAAAAGGGGTAAGAAAAACAGTCCACATTTGAGTGGGTGGAGTTTGACATTTAAAAAGATTGTGTATTTGAAACAACCTTGAACTCATTTTTCTTTTGAGTTTTTCTCCCTCTAACCCCCTCTCCCCCCATTATTTGTTCTTACTGGTCATGAACTTTTATACTTTTCTGGATTAAATTTGTCTTCACCTTCAGAACATGCCAACTAATCTGCTAAAGGAATGTTGGATGAAAACAGCAAACTCCTTTAAAGTCATTTATGCAGGGGAATGGGTCAGTGTTTGAAAAGGGGCAAAACATCAAAAATGGACTGAACATTTTTGCACTGGAGGTTTTTCAAATGAGCAAGTGGGAAGTGATGTCCCCTACAGAGAAAGAAAATCATAATGAGTTCCACAGTACTGAAAACCTGCCATGAATGTACGTACATAAAGAGAGTTAAGTGTTTGTAAGCCAAAAAGGGCATAGAAAATGCTGCTGTCCTCCTGGGACCCTACAAAGGTCAGGTGGAGGTGAGGCAAGATTGGTGAGAGATTGCCGTTTCAAGAAGGGTTGGAGAAGGGATCATAAGCTTAAACTCTTCTTTCTTCAGTGGCAAGACAGAAATAATTGATTTTGGTCTGGACCAGGTGATAGCTAACAAATATGGCTGGAGAGATAACTTTTCCTAGGGTATCTTTATGTGATGATTTCCTTTTCTTCTCTTTTGGGAATACTTTGATTTGACAGCCAGTATTTATATGCTGTGATCCCTAGCTTCTGGAAAGTAAGAATTATAGCATCTTTGAATTGAAATGGACTCAGAAATCATCCAATTCACCCCAAATCTAATCAGCACTCTCCACTACAGCATCTCTATCATCATCATCACTAATACTGATATAGTGCTTTAAGGTTTGCAAAGTTCTTTATGTGTATTGTAATTTAATGTTCACAAGAGAATGAGGTGGATGCTATTATTATCTTCTTAACTCATAATTCAGAATCTACTTATACATCCTATTTCATTTTTGGACATAGGGTTTATGTGTAATTTTTAGGAAGCTTTTCATTATACTAAACTGAATTTTACCTTCTCATAATTCCACCCCCCATCTCCACTCCCTCCCTATTTCATCTGAGTTTTGACCTCTAGAAGTAGAAGAGGTAGAACACTTCTTTCAGATGATCCTTCAAATAACTACTTGAAGACAGTTACCATATTTCCCATAAGTCTTCTCTTCTCCAGGTTAAAGCTATCACATTCTTTCAATCTATCTCTTCCCCTCATTTTTGTTGCCTGCTTTTGGACCTGCTCTGCTTATTGAGCCCTAGCATCTAAAGATTTGGGGCACAGAACTGAATGCAATACTTCACATGGGTTTTTACAAGGGCAAAATGCAAAAGCATCAGAATCCCGGCTCTGTCACTTACTATCTCAGAGATGCTAAACAAGCTATTGTCTTCTCTGGGCCTCAGTTTCCTCATCTTTAAAGTGAGAGGTGTTGGACTAGAAAATTCAGGCCTTCTTAAACTTTTTCCATTTGCAACTTCTTCAGTTCTTCTTAAACTGTGGGTCCCAACCCCATATCCACATTTTAAGAAGCTGGTAGATGACTCCCAAGATCCCTTTCAGCTATAGAGCTGCAATTCTATAGTCTTCCTCATTCTATGATTACCTTAACTATTTTGGATGCCTTCTCATAATGCTGTTTCAAACTAAAATCCCGAGAACAATTTCACACAAACTGTTTTCTAACTATCATTTTGCTGTAATTAATTTTTAAAAACTCAAGTACAAGGATTTATACTTGTAATGGAGTAAGACAACAGAACCAAAATAGTCTCCTATACCTTTTGAGTATGTAGCAAGGTTATGAAGGCTAGAGAGAAGGACTGAACCTGTGTTTTCATTGCCATCAGGAACTCTCAGGGGAGCAACCTCCTCAGCATTTTTTTGTGCAACTAAGAGAGCTGGCTTAAGCACTGAGAAGTGATTCATGACCTCACACCTAGACTACTGCAATAGGCTGCTGCTGGTCCGGCTTGCCTCCTGTCACTTCTCACTCCAATTAGTCCTCCAGTTCAGCACCAAAGTCACCTCCCTAACTCAATAAACTCCAGTGGCTCCCTGGTGGCTACAGAGCAAATACAAATTGCTCTGTTTGGCATCCAAAGCCCTTTATGACCTTGCCCCTCCTGCCTTTCCATTTTTCTTACACATTACTCCCTAACACATACTCTTTGGTCCAGTGACATTGGACTCCTGGGTATGCCATGAACAAGACACTCCATCTCATGTCTCTGGGGATTTTCTCTGTCTGTCTCCCAGGCCTGGAATGTTCTCCCACCTCATCTCTCTCTACTGGCTTCCCTGGCTTCCTTTAAATCTCCTCTCCGACAGGAAACCATTCCCAACCCTTCTTATTTCCAGTGCTTTCCTTCCTTTAATTACTGTCTATTTCTTTTCTATGTGACTGAAGTGAGTGCTGTGGAGACCTTAGAGCTTGGTCAGGCATCAAAGACACCAAGGTCATCCACTGCATCCCGGGCCATCGCTTTGGTCCTGCCACTGAGCTTCGATGACTCTGGAAGAGAGAGTGAGGCTGACAACTCTGTGCAACTCAGCCTCACTTAAATGCAATTCATGAGCAAGCCAAGACATCACCCATGATGTTGTTGGTCCTCTTCAAAAATGAAGGAGGGACAAGAATTTTTCCTATATATAGCTTATTTGTACATATTTGGTTGCTTGATATCTTTGAACTCCTCTCAGGGCAGGGACTGTCTTTTGCCTCCTTTTGAATGCCCTGCACTTAACACAGTGCTTGTCACATAATAGGCCCTTAATAAACATTTATTGACTCACTGACTGACTTGAAGCAGTCAGTATGTGTCAGAGAGGCAGGACAGAAACCCAGGTCTTCTTTTCGTAGAGGCCAGCTCTCTATCTACCATATCATACTGCCTCTAGCAATAAAGAAATTATTGTTAAATAGTTCTAAGTTGAATAACAAGAACCTTTAGAAACTTTATTTACCCTTTAGCCTAGTCCAATGTCTGACACAGATTCAGTGTTTAATAAGCATTTTTTGCAATGAATGAAATTGTAAAATAATAATAATTATTTGCATAGCACTTACTATGTGCCAGGCACTGTGCTAAGAGCTTTACAATTATTTTCTATTTTGATCCTCACAACAACATTGATAGGTGGGTGCTATTATTATTATTCCCATTTTACAGATGAGGAAACTGAGGTAAACTAGGGTTAAATGACCTGCCCGGGGTCAAATAGCTAGTAATGTCTTGATTTAAACTTAGGTCTTCCTGACTGTAGTCCCAGTGTTCTATCCATTATCCACTGACATGTGAGAGGCTACTAATGAAGACAGGTTGGCTACCCAATACTATTAAATTATGTGACTTGAGTCCTCCTGATCAATGGGTTTTCCCCTTATATTAAGTCACAGGTTCACTGAGGGAGAAGGGACCTCAGAGATCACATATTCATAGGATCTCAGTTCTGCCACTTAAACTGTGTGATGCTCTGTAAGTCGTTTAACTTCTCTGAACTTTAGTTTTTTCATCCAGAAAATGAGGATAATGTTGTGAGGAAAGTACTCAAAGAACTGGTAGAAATGATTGTGGAACCATTGCCAGTAAGAAAAAACAAACAAAGAAAGAAAAAACAGGAAAGACACCACGAGCTTTGAGAAGGGCAAATGTCCTAATTTTCAAAAAAGACAAGAGAACAGAGTCTGCAAACTATAATAATAGCAGCTAGCATTTACGTAGTGCTTTAAGGTTTGCAAATTACTTTAACATGTTATCTCATTTGATCCTGCTATAACCCTGGAGGTAAGGTGCTACTATTATTCACATTTTACAGATAAGGAAACTGAGGTACAGAGAGGTTAAATGGCTTGGCCAGAGTCACATAGCCATTAAATCACAAAGCTAGGATTCAAACTCAGGCCACCTGTAGGCCAGCAAGCTTGATTTCTAGGAAAACTCTAGGTGAGATCATTAATGAAATGGTTGACGAACACCTGGAAAGAGAAACAATCATGACAAAGAGGCAGCATGGTTTCATCAAGAACAGGTCGCAGCAGATTAAAATGATTTTTTTTTGACAG